ACATTTTGAACTTAACATTATCAGACTCTTTGGGTGGGGCTAGCAGCTGTATACAAAACACTGTTATTTGCAATGATGTCAGATAAATATTCAAGACAGAGCCAAAAGTAGCTGGGAAGTCTACACCACAGTACTTTAGTCGTTGCAGATTGATCCAATCAAATGATTCCAAATTTAGGGAACTAGAACTATGTCAGCACAAATTAGCTGGTCTACTCCATGAGCAGGGTAGAACCAAAGTATTCAGAGATTTCGCACACACACACAAAATTCCAGCCCCACCATGAAATGCCATTTCATAGCCGAGGGTGTGGTGGTTAGAGCGTCCACTGGCCAATCAACACTAAGCTTTGATAAGAGCCAGCAGCAGCGGCTAAAGTGTGTGTGTCCACACAAACACACGCAGCAGCAGGGATCCTACTGTTATGCGCTCTGTGGTACAGTAGGCTGGCACGTTGGGGGGAAATGGGGGTTGTGAAAACTCTATTGGAGAGATGCTGCTGGCAAACTGATGGTGTGTGTGAGTGCGTGTGTCGGAGGGGGAGGTGGAGGTCAGAAAAAAAGTGGTAGAACTGAGGAGTGAAGCAAAGGAAAAGTAGAGAAGAAAAGAAGTTGGGCAGAAAGAGCGAGAGATGTAGGAGAAAAAACAAAGGTGGGATAAAGATAAAAGCTTGGAGGGGAAGGGAAATAAAAGAGCAGAAGGGAAGAAAGAACTAGCTGAGAAGAGAGAAAGCACAGAAGGTGTTGCCTGTACAAATCGTGCCAAAATTTACTGGTGGTGTTAGCGAGGGAACAGAAAACTAGACTGTTAAACTCAAATTTAGCTTGTGCAAAGCTGGCTGAGGAAACTTGCTGCCACTCAACTACAAACACAGTGCATATACGAGGATGCAACCATGCACAAATGCACATTGTGACAAAATTAAAACATGCAAAGTTTGCACAAACACATGCAGAAAAAAACAAACTGCAGCTCAAGCAATTGGAAGCTCCCTTTGGAGTTTACGGCATTTGATTCTCCCACATTTTCGCAGCAGTTGAAGCAACAGTTTGGAATTTGAATCTCAAGAAGAAAAAAAAAAGTGTTTGTGCTTTTTTGTATGTGTGTCTATGCAGACCCTGTAGGGCAGGTGTGAACCGAACCCGAGAGAGAAAAGCCGTTCTTATGTTTCAATTCACTTTACCCAACCTCGTTAAGCCTGTTAAGCCACCCCCAAAAACCCTCCACTCAAATTAGATGCAAATGAGGCCTCAAGTGGCTTTCCAAGTAGAACATTACGGAATTGACTGGCCCGAGGTAATCTTTGAGGCTGGCAGCGTGTGAGTGTGTCTGTTAAGTGAACAGTTGGGGCCACCACAGTTTTTCTCTCGTTAACCTTTCCAAATGTTTACAATAGTGAGGAAGACCAGGCTTTTAAAGCGATTGATTCTGTGGTTATGACAGGTGGACTGTGGCACTGGCTTACTCGTTTTCACATGTAGCAGAAAGAAACTAGATTCAAACTTTTGCACTGTGTGTAATAAAAAGGCTAAGTGGGGGCATATTGTGAAAGCTACATGAGCGTTACAGTGCTTTCATGCTTTACAGTGCATCGTGACTGATTCTCTTCACTCCAGGCACCCACCGTTCCTCAGGAAATTTACCACTGTGAAATGTTTCAGTGTTATATAATGTGACAGCATATCATGAAATCCTCTTAACTCCATGTGTCACATACTTCTGCTTTACTCTGCTGGGAATTTCTACATTTGGTTTCATAAAACTTCAAGCAATCTTTCTAAGTTACTTTGATTCGATACATGTGTCTATAGAGGGTAGAATGTAGAAGTTGAAAAACATTTTCCCGGAAAGATAAGGTGAAAGCCTCGCCTTAATTAAATGCTACATGTTTTGCGGCCTTGACGCATGTTCTAGTGTTGTGAGGTAACAGATACACATTATATTTTCTAATATTTCAGCGACAGAGACAAGAAAAGTTTTAAATTAGAAAAAAGATGGAGGATTTCCATGCTACAATATTTAAAGCAATGTTGAAACCATGGGCGTAATTTCCAGGGGGGTTAGGGGGGCTATGTTATCTTTACTCATTTCAGTTATTGCCAGCAAAATAGTTGCACGTTTAATCATCTGGAAATTTACCCAGATTTATTTATTTATTTAGACAGAGATCTTGACACACACACACACACACACACCCCCACCCAATGTTCAGCACAAAGTTACGCCGATGGTTGAAACTTAACCATGGTTAAAATGTGTTCTACCAAGTTAACATTACACAGTTAACTACTAGGACTGTAGCCAAAGAAAGAAAATCTTGGCAAAGAATTAAAGACGAGAGATTACAGTATCTAAAATGGGATGTTGACAGTGCTGGCCATAGTAAGTGTGACAGAAGCAAAGTTAATATAGTTGTAAAACTATATTCTACACTAGGATGATGCGAGTTGATTTAAATGTATATGATCCATTTCATTTTAAAATGATCAGTTAAACTCTTTTAAGCATGAACAATTCATAAAGTTCTTTTTTTAACCCAAATCCTAAAGACTTTTATCCCTAATTGTGACTTTTCACCTCACTTCAAGTTTATTGCCAGTTTTTGCCACCATGAAAAAGTCTGTTATACCATAATGTCAAGCCACAATGACGAGTGTGTTAGTACAGCGGTCTCCAACCTTTTTTGCGCCACGGACCGGTTTATGCCCGACAATATTTTCATG